CTCACTCGATCGGAATATATTGCCATCAACATTTAATCTTGCATTGGAACAACTCGGGGTTTTTGTCAAACAGCTTGTTTGTAATGGCAGTGATGGATTTGGCACAATTGTCCCAGGACCTGTTGAACTGACGTATATACTGGACAATGGCATACCTGACAATGTACATACGCGATTGATGACAAATGTATCGGATATTGAACATGGATCAAATCACAACACTGGTCAAATGGTGCACAATCTGATTGATGCATCAATGTACAGTGTTGTATATGGACAAACGATGATTGCACCACTGAGTATACGACTCAAATACACCACAATGGTACCATGCGATATACTGTTATCGACTCAACTTGTTTCAAATGTGCCCATCATTGAAGGTGATTCCGAGTTTATATCATGCAAGTCTCAATGTCTTCCGAGTGAATTCCGTGTCGAACAGGATGGCAGTGTGGCCATCAACTCATACATCAACAATCTGAATCCGATATGGCATCGAGACATGTACAAATGCATTGCCAAAATATTCAAATGTTTTGTCCCAATGTTTGAAAGTCTGTTCAGAACGATGGATCCAGTGTTCAAGTATATTGATATTTGCAATGGCACAGATGGATATGAGCCACCAAGTCAGTCAGATCGTGGTGGTATGGAGTCAGACACTCAAGTCATTCGTCCCGTGTATGTACCAATACTTCCGAAACATTTCAAATCCAAATATGAATCAGCAAAGCCAGTGTCACTGCGTGGTCGTAATCTACAAGTCATTGTCAAACTCACCAACATTCAACTGACACCATCCAAACCTAAATACAACGAGGGAAACTGGCACAATGAAGGTTCAGCTAACGAATCGATTGTTGCAACTGGACTGTATTACTATGACGTGGAAAATATCACCACACCCAAACTCGATTACCGCGAGGCTGTTTATTGTTTTGATTATCAAGGAGCATCTGATATGTATTGGAAAGATGTGTGTGACATTGATCAAGAATCACCACGCAATCAGTATATAGGATCGCTTGAATTACCAAATGGTCGGTGTGTAGTTTATCCCAA